TTGATAATTTATCATTTGCTGATAATATCTACATAAAAACTTTTGTTAGAGTAAAAAAAAAAAAAAAAAAATTGGTCATTTGAGTGATGCAAGAAAATAAGTTTTATTTTGGAGAGTTGACCGATTTGCCTGTTTAACAGCATATCAACACATTATGGGTCATTTAATGCCAAAATTTAATTTTCTTGGGAGCCTTGAAGTAATACAAATATGATATACAGGGGTTAGACAAAATATTGTGAACATCTTGCAAAAATAGCAATTTTTTTTTTTTTTTACTTCCAGCATTTCCAGGTATTTGTAAACATCAAACCGGCACAAAAACGTAAATGCTCAGCACTTTAATCCTTTACCTTACTTTTCCAACTAATTAAGTTATTTATCTTCAGGTAAAATAATTATAGGCTTATGGAGGTCCAACACCTTAGTTAATAAGTGTTTAAGCTAGTGTTCACATTTTGTCTAACCCCTGTATGTTATTCTGCTTTCACAATTGAATACATGGTAGATGAAACACAGCTTGTGTGGATAAGTGGTGGTGAAATGTGTTTTATGTTGAAAGGTATTTTGGTTTGATTTGTTTTATGGCATATCAGCCTCAATGGGTTATTTAATGCCAACAAGATTTTTTTTATTGCAACAAAAATTTATTGCTGATACTAAAACCTATTTTTACACTTTCATAGTGTTTTGACTCCAGTTTCAGAGTTAATTATTTGCTCATAGCTGGGACCCTAACAGGTGATACCACCCCAAGTGAGGGTGGACCTGGGAACACCAGCAATTAAAAGGTGGTTCCATGAGCCTCAAAATATCCAATCTTTCGATCTGTGACATTGTTGCCAGATGTAGTTTATCGTCATACTCAGAACCAATTTTGGAGAGTAATAACTGCCCTGGAATAATTTAAAAAAAAAAAAAAAAAAAAAAAAAAAAAAGGGGGCTAGAGAGGCAGTGTCTTTTTGGACATTCCAAAGATTTTGGAATTTAACGTGTGTATTTTGTGGTATATTTGAGAAGAAATTTTTCTTTTAAATATCTATTGTTAAAAAACAATAGACTTTTTGTGTATTATATATATATATATATATGATCTTTTTCTAATGTATGAAAATCCTTTTACTAATGTGTGTGCTGTGTGGATAAATTGGCCAAAATGAATTTAGTGTTGTCCCATGCTTTCAGTTCACAACATCAGCGTTTGTTTTACTTATAGAAAATTTGTATTTTAATAATTTTAGTGTTTTTTTTTTTTTTGGAAAAAAAAAACAAGTTAAATCAAATGTGACTTTATGCAGTAAGTCATATGACACCACCGGGTCTCAAACAAGGCTTATTTTTATTTAATGGTTAATTATTTAAATTCTATATAAATAGCTTCTATAATCTTTAGTCTTTTTATTAGATTCATGAAGTATTCTAGCATTAGAAAGGTAATGTCTAATAAAGTTTGTTTGGAATGTTGTCTAAAATCATTTTTGAATAGATATTCTTATATTAGAAAAACCATATATATATATATATATACACACACACACATTACAGCTACATTTTTGTTAAATTATTGTAAGCAGAAAATCTTTTTTTTTTCTTCTACTGATGATGGCTGAAACTAGTCGAGGAATTTAAATGAAATAATAAAAATGAAATATATAATCCAGTGTGTCTGAAGATTTTAATTTTGTAATATTTTTTTTATTGTTCTATCTATCTATCTATATATATATATATATTTGTTAAAGACAGACATTTTGTGTTGTATGACAATCACTGCATAAAACTCAGTAAAGATTTGGGCCTAGTCTATTGATGCTGTTTCATTGGTTAGTGTTACTGTTCTGTCTTTTTGCAAGAGGCATTGAACCCTTTTGTTTATTGCCTAGGTTAGTTCCTGTTTTTTCTTTGTCATTTTGTTTTTCATTCTTGGTTTCTTCTAATACATTTTTTGGGCGTTTGTCTTTCCATCAACCCTTAAATGTGAAAGTATTTCTTTGAAGTCAGGAATGTGTTATAAAATAATATAAGACATATCTCGGCTGATTTACAGGCAAATACTCAATAGCAAGAGCCGGATGTGAACGGGACAAAACCTCGTCACAAAATGACCATTATCTTTCTTTACAAATGTTCCCGACACACGTGTTCCGGTCGAAAAATAAAATAATATTTAAAGTGTTCTATTTTTCGTCCAATAAAAATGCTTCCTCCTAATTATACTCGCTTCATTTTTCGAGCCTGTTAAGCCATAAAAAAACGCTATAAAAAGGGGGTCACATGGAAGTTCAACAGGCAGTCCACAGGTGGCCAGGAAGAGACCTGTCACGGTCAGGCTGAGCTGTCAGCAGGGGTCAGCGTCAACCACCGTCAACATGTGTGAACTACTATGAGAGATCGACCTAGATCCGAAGCCAGCTTATGAACTTTACCACAAGGTAGCTGTCCCAAACCTACACATTCCTGTTGAAATAAACCATGTAAATCTATTTCTGCTGTTGTCGTATTTCTTTCTTGCCACCATACGCTTGTCTATAACAAATGAAGACATTATAAAAGATTTTTGTTACTTCAAAATAGATATACTTGAATGATGACTCAATCAAGCTTAGTGAGACAGCCGGAGTCACTGCTGATTATATAACATTAAATATGTTAAATAACCAGAAAAATTACTGTAAAAAAAAAAAAAAAAAAAAAAAAAAAAAAAAAAAAGAGGTCCAAATCTTTACTCAGTTTTATGCAGTGATTGTCATACAACACAAAATGTCTGTCTTTAATATATATATATATATTGAACAATAAAAAATATTACAAAATTAAAATCTTCTGACACACTGGATTGTATATTCTTTCATTTTTATTATTTCATTTAGATTCCTCGACTAGTTCCGCCATCAGTATAAAAAAAAAAATTTTCTGCTATTAGCTGTGTGTGTAAAGTATATATATATATATATATATATATATATATATATATATATATATATATAAAATGGTTTGTTTTCTAATATAAGAAAATTTATTTGTTAATGTTAGACAACATTATCACAAACACTATGTTAAAGAAAAAGTATAATAAAGTGCTCAATAGAGCAGCTTAGAAAAACTGGTATAAAGAGCAAGCTAATACAATAAAAATAGGTAAAACATTGTATAATACCGCTAGGTCTCATCAGGTGGCTGGGCAAAAAAAACAAAACAAATTTTTTCTTTTCTCTCCTGTCTTCACTTGCACTCTTGACTTTCAGCATGATAATAGCTGTGTGGTGTGGTTTGAAGAACACTTATTACCCAGCCCCCTGATGAGAGATAGCATCTAAAAACTACAGTAGTGTGCAGTAATTATGGTGTTATACCTCTTTTGAACAATTTTGTGTATATATATATATATATATATATATATATATATATATATATATATATATATATATACACACACACACACCTTAAGAGTGGCACAGTGGATAAAGGCGTTAGTTAGATCCAGTGAATTAACAGGAGATAACTGGCATCCATTAGACATGGCACGTGGAACTAGAACAGTCTACCCCAGTCAAATGAAATAAAGGGTTCAGTTCAACATTCCAAATGACCTGAAGAAGGCAAAGTGTTACAACAGCCAAAAAAATTTGTGATAAACATTCCGTTGACAAAGATGAAGACAATAGTCCAATAATGTAAATAGTGTACATAATACCTCATCTGAGAAATATAGACAGATACTGAAGGGCTTCGTAATAAATATGGCAACAAAGATGAAGACAAAGTGAATCATAATGACAATTTTGTAAATTCATTGAATTGACATAATTTTAACACAGATATGTATATAATATATATATATATATATATATATATATATATATATATATATATATATATAATCCCCCTGCCTTTTGGGGGTTGGTGGAATTCATGTAAAATAAAATCAGTTGTTGCACTTTTACTACTGTACTGATGTCATTCAAAAAAATTGAGCTACTTTTCCAGTTCTTTAAGAAGATTCTTGGGATAAATTACAGAAGTAGGGTACCCAGGCCTAAAAAGATAACGTTTTGCTTTTAGCCGCGGGGTTCCCACAGACGATAAGACAGGAACAACCAGAAGTCCTTCTTACCGATGCAGACGCTCCTTGATTTTCACCTTTGCCCTTGTTAGCAACTGTCGTTTGTGTGTCAGACCAGTCCGCCTTTTTTGTGGCCCTACCAGGAACGGTTCTCATAGCTTTAACACTACTGTTTACACCCCCCCCAAATGACTGTGAGGTAATGGGTTGGAATTTTGGGGGCTTACAGTACCAGGTGTTCCCAAATTTTTCTAAGTACTGACCTGGCTCTCCTTATGCTTAAATTTGGTGATCGTATATGAGAACCGTAAAAAAGCCCATTTGACCGTAAGCTGTTGTTGCACTATACATGAAGTCAGCTTATACATGAGTACATACAGTATTTTTCTGAAAAATTGATTTCATAGAAAGATTTTATAAAATTCAACCAAAAGTAGCACAGGCTGCTCAGTAAATGAATGCCTGTTTTCAGAGGGAAAGTTAACAGGAGATAACTGATATCCATGGCACGTGGAACTAGAACAGTCTACCCCAGTGAGCAAAATAAAGGGTTCAGTTCGACATTCCAGCCACCTGAAGAAGGCTGGAGTGTACAACGGCCGAAATGTTGTAATAAATATGGCGACAAAGATGAGGACAATAGTCCGAATAATGTAAATAATGTACATAATACCTCATCTCAGAAATATAGACAGATATTGATAATTTTTATCATTATTATGCATGTGAAAGACTTATACATATACTTATGACATATCAAGATGTACTGATTTTAGTTAATGTCTGGACATGGTTACAAAAATTAAGAAGTTTAAGAAAGAAATGAATGAAAGATGAAAAATTGTCGAGCAGGTTTCTCATGAATTCAAGGCCGAGATCAAGTGAATAAGAATTTCTTTTATATCTTAATTCTGTACATCCCACCACCCTTATCTTTGGCCACATCTCATTGAAACACCAGTTCCTGTACAATCACTGAAGTTAAGCAATGTTGAGCCTGGCCAGTATGTACATGGGTAGCTACTTGGGAATACCAGGTGCTGTAAGCTTGGATATGCAAATGATCTTGTAATGGAATTTGTTGATCAGAACTAGTTCCAATTCCCACTGAATTCTTTATATTATTCACTTCTGTGCAAATACCCAAAGAAATGGTATGAATCTACATTCTCGCTTGCTCCCTCCCTCCCTCTTGTTATAGTTTAGTGTTAAAAACAAACAAACAAAAAAAATAAGAAAGATTTATTTTATTCATAGAATCATTTAACAACCCCTCATTTCAGTTAGATGCTACCCATGAGAGTTTCTTGGGCATGCAATTACAGGTCTGCCTAATTATTATATTTTAGGAACTTTATGCTTGATGTAACAACAAAGCTAATTAGTTGATTGATGTTCAGCACCTCAACTCTGAAATTTCATAGATGAACCTTTGTTCAACTGTTCAGGACACTCATCAGGAGATATCAGCAAACATGACATTTGTTTTCATTATTTCTGTCTTAAAAAAAATAAAATAAAAAAAATTATGCACTTTTTATTAGTGTTTGGTTAAATTTTCTGTTTACATGTTATTTTTTTAATAAAAAAAAAAAAAAACAAAAAAAAAAAAAAAAAAAAACAAAACAATTAAAAAAAATAAACGGATTTATTATTTACCCGATTTGTTCTAGATTCTTTTTTTATCCAGGTTTTTTTTTTGGCAGTGTTAGGTTATCTTAATTTTTTTTGATTTAAAGTATTGGTTTTGTATAAATTATGTTGCATTATCTGCATTGTATATAGGAAGCATCTGCATTTTTCATGTTGGTATTTCACAAGATATGTTTTTTTGATTCGTAAGTATTGTAGTAAGAATTTGTTTCCGTGTCTGCATTTTGAAAGGAATTCAGACATCATTTCACTCCAGTAAGGGAATAATACCATTAAAACCAGTGGGCGGGGGTGTATACTTTATATTATTGGTGACCAGGAAGATATCTTATTGAAGAGGCAGGGAGGGGAGATTTCATCTCCTTTTATACATCTTATGGTTAAAAACACAGTCATATGAATTATAAAAGGTTAATACAGAAGACAATATTTTTTTTTTGTTAGCATAAGTACACAGCTTTCTTTCCACCTGACCAAATTTATTTCGTCACAATAAAAAGTTTCTTAACCTTTTCATTCTTTAAATAGTTTTCATGACGCAGGGAAGCCACTGCATAAAAATTCTATATAAAACACCATACATTGCTAAATGCATTCCCTATGATTATAATTTTAAATAATTCAAGTTGAAGAATTTTTATTAATTATAATAATCAATGATTTTCCAACAATTTTCTGTATGTGTGTATACTAGTAAAATTATAGAAATATAAAATTTAACAAAAATGAAGTAGTCTATGTTTTTCGCGGAACCCCTAATGACCTCTTACTGAATCCGAGTGTTCTGGAGAATACCGGTTCAAAAGCACCGTCTTAAAGTGGTCACCTTTTAAATGTATTTTTTTGTTGTTTTTTTTTTAAAAGAGAAGTTCCAATTATAGAATGATTTTGCTGATCATTAAAAGGGAGAAAACTCTTTAGATTTTTTGGATTCCACAACGTTTTTACAATTAAAGGGAAGCAACTCCAGCCGACATGTTACTTCGATGTTGGGAGATGAAAAGTTTTATATAGAATTTTGTTTTAGTTTTCTAAATTGAATTTTCCAACAAAAGAGAAAAAAAAAATTACTTCCCGTTTGAAGTTGTTTTTAATAAAAACTGTACAACCAAACAAAATTATGACGAGAAGGAAGATAAGGAATGATTTCGATAAGTTTTAGTAGAGATAAGAATTCTGTTAAAAACTAAGTTGAAAGAAAAGTAATCAGTTCGTTAAAGAAAAAAAAAGGAAAACAAATTTACTAAGCAGACGATAATTACTCTCCATCTTGAATACTACTGACACTTTGCAACCGGCAAATGGAACAAAACATAATTTAAGCATTAAACTTTCAAAGATAGATTTTTCAAAAAGTTGTAAAAAATTGGTTGTATTTAGGTACCCTCACTAATTCGGTACGAAAGGTTTTAAAAATGAAAAAGCTTGATACTTTCATTTGAGCTTTAGTTGAAAGCTAAAGGATTTTTAAAATTTATTATTTCCAGTAAGCAAACTAATCTGTTGTATTTCCAACAGAAATTATATTGATCGGAATCGATTTTTCTTCATTGATAGATTTTGAATCAAAAACAGCCATTTTTTTTGTAAACAAAATCCTTACTCTTAGAAATCTTGCAAAAATAAAACATTTCCGAAATGTTATTTGGAGGAAAATTTGCAAATCTAAAGTTAAATTAATCTGAAACAAATATTACTTGTAGCATAAAATGTTCTATATAAACATTTCTTAACTACGAGTTCATGTTTTTCTGACAGGTTATCGATTTTTTGACAACCGAACTTGTTTTATAGTCAAGTATGGTGGCCAATATTTGACGATAAAGTTTTTTCCTCCCTAAGAACTGGTGGGTGGGCAACGCTTAAAATAATTGACCTTTTAATACTAGAGATCTATCATTTTGTACATCCATACTTCAGAAATTTCACACGGATTCACACACAACAAATCGTTAAATTTTAAAAATATTCGCTGTCGTCAGATTGTAATAAACTTTACAATATACGAGTAGAAAATAGTTTCTTTTACTTAAAATTCATTTTCAATAAGATAATTCTTACGAAATATTAAAATTTAAAACTTCAAATTTAAAATTATATATAAAAAAAAGAAAACAAATCTTCGAAAATTTTCTCCAGACAAATTGTCTATATTCATAAAAAGCAATTGAAAGCAAAGAAGTTCTTAGTTTTATTGCGTTTTTTTTTTATATTCTGAACCGATTAGTGAATATGTCCTGAACATTCCATTAAAATCTGATAATTATTTTTGCCAGAATTTCCAAATGTCACCACAAAAAAAGGCAAAAATTTGCTATGCTATTACAACTACTAAAGCAAAATTTCGAGTGTTCTTAAAAAAAAAAAAATTATGCTATTTTTAAGAGAAAAACAAAGTATTTTTTTTAATTATCCAGAAATTTTTTTAAAAACCTAACACGGTTGAAATTTTAGTTAATTTTTAGAAGAAAAAAAAAAAAAAAAAAAAAAAAAAAAAAAAAAATTGTTTTGCGCTTTCTTTCCAGTTAAAAAAAACACATGATTTAGAAATTCTTGCAAAAATCAAATAATTGTTGGTTTTTAATGAAACTAAAAACTTATTCAAATAAAATTTTTTAAAATTACACATCACTTAATTTCATGAAATTAAATCGTATGCCAAAACTTATTACTTAAAAGTTGGACTCCTTGGAAAATGTAAATCCAATTTGTAATTTTTTTCCCCAAAAAATATTGCTCGTTTTGTGAAATTCTGCTTCAAATGGTAAATTAAAATGTAATAAAACTATGACATTAATTAGAAAACCTTTTGTAAATGAGTTAGGGCCCTGTGTTTAAAAAAAAATCCAATGAATGTGATTAGTAATAATTTATGAATTTTAAAATGGTTAAAAATCTTCCACACCATGTTTATTTTAGGTAATATTGTAATTAAGTAGAAATATTTACAAATAAAAAAATTGAAAATTTAATAACTCGTTTTGCAGCAATATTTTTTAATTTTTTTTTTTACTTTAAGCATTCCCATTTTTTATCTATAGTAGTCTATATGTAACATTATTATGAAAAAGTCAGGTGTTCGAGTTGTCCTCTTTTTACAGAGAAATTTACTTTCCTCCAATTCGTTATTCACTGCGTACGTTTCAACAGGTATTGAACATCATCCCTTCAGTTTTTTTTCACGAAATTTTTTTTTTTATGTATTTATTGTGGATCATAGATTATTGAATTACTTCCATCATGTTATTTCATCTCAGTAATTAAATTTTAAAATTTAAGAAAATTTTACAGTGTTTTAAATTTTATTTTTCATAAAAGCATCTTCAAGCATAACTAAAGTCAATATTAGATAATTGCTGAAAGTATGTTAATTTGTAAAAATTACTAGGTAGTTTATATATATATATATATATATATATATATATATATATATAGTGTGTGCATTCACTTCAATTTCGTAAATTTGTCAATTTTGGCCATCCATACTAGCTGTCAACACCTCGGAGCTTATCGATAGCGTCCATAAAAGAGGCAAGAAAAATAGGACCCATCGTTAAGAAATGATTCTATATTATTTTTTTTATACTGTAGTGTAATATTTGTTACAAATCAGATTAATTTTAAACCTTAAATTTGCTAATTTTACTCAAATAACGTGTCAAAAAAAAAAATATTTTTTAGAAGATTTTTAAAATCGATAATTAAATTTTATTTTAAAACTTTTAAAGTGTAAGAAATTGTCGCCAGTAAATAGATTTTTTTGAAATCGAGCAAATATTTGACATTCCAAACTATATAATTTCTATCTAAAATATACAAGAGTATTTTACCTAAATGTCCTCGTTACGATGTCTTTCTCAGTTCAATGAAAAATGTTACGTCAAGACGGCAGCTTTAAATGGCGGGAACATACGGATAAACTTTTTTTTTTTTTTTAGTAAAATCGTTTGCTATGGATTTCGAAAGAACTTTCTTGACAGATAATTACATGAGAAAAATAAAAATTCAAAACGTCTGCTGCACTGAATTAAATGTTCGAAATTTTTTTTTTTTATTGAGAACTTACTGAAACACAGCGGTCGGACTTTGATAACAGATTACGGCCAAACTATTTGACCAACCAAACCCGAACATATCACCTTAACCCCCCCCCCCAAAAAAAAACGGCATTCTTTCCTTGATTTTATAGCCAAATTTCCACCAGTGTTCTTTGGAATCGAACGAAACATTAGTACCCTTTATATTGCACTCGACGAAAATCTGGGGAGGGGAGTGAGGGGTGTTGTGGAAAGAAGCGTTACCCCCCATCTGATGTTATGAAAATACAATACATATATAGACAACAATAACATTGATAAACTTATAGCTAAATCAATTTCCTTTCGTTTGATGTA